TTGACTCTCTTCCGTCTCCCAATTGAAAATGAGATCTTTCACAGTGCCAGATGAGTCGCTGTCTCCGTTTCTCGCCTTTAAGAGGTCTCACGCAACCGGTCTGCGCAAGACGGACACGTTCATCCATTGGAAAAAAGTTACCTCCAGCTGTTACCTTTGGATTATACAGGATGCACACTAAAACTTGGGATTTGTCACCGAGAGCGTAATATAAAGTATGCAACTGGTATAAATTTTACAAAGGGGAGGATTTAAATGTATTCGAACGACATAAACGGTGGAATGTGCGGGTAACTTATAAGTGATGACAGAGAGGGAGAGAGAGAGATTGACTGAGATAAATAACCGGCCACTGAACACTGACCGACTCGGATAGGTGACTGGGTCCTGGGAATGAGAATCTAGAGTGAGGTACACATCTCAGCGCATTTCCCTTCTATATAAAATTTCACGCACTCGAAGCTCTTATGGTGCTCTAAAAGCGGTGGCTTGGAAGTCTGTCCACTGACGGGATAACTCGGACCTCACAGTCAGCCAAGTGTGTGTTTGCGTGGAATGGCCGATTGGTACACTGAGGGCTAAGCTGCAATGGCTCCTTCTCAATGTCACCTCTATAGCAATCTTCCCTCAGTGGCACCCAAGCCAGTTATGTGGTGGTGCGCTTAGGGTGGTTCCAGTCACACCAGCTACCTGCGCTCTCTCCCGTCTCCGAGCTTCTTGACTTGTTCATGACACTGGGCCCAGTTGGTGTAAAGGAGGGAATTCGGTAGATGCAGCGCAAGTCTACTACTTATACTACCAAGACTAAACAACAACATCGCGGCCAATCCTGGCTAAGTATGGTACACACGCAGACTTAGGTCCCTTATAAGTATTCAAAATGTTCATTATGGTTATTCCTTCGCCTATACAGCATGGTTGTCATAGATGAGGTGGAGCATCTACCGCCTAATTTAAGATTGGTGGTTGGATTATCCCCTTTCATTCAACAAATGCTTACTGGCAGCTTAGGCTGGCCTCAATAAAATATGCTAATTACTAGGAATTAGAGACTGTTAAGTGTCTGAATTGTGGTTAAGTGACCGTCACATCCGTCGAGGTCCACCGCGCGTACCACATGGTGATGGTGGTGGTGCAGGGAGGGTGACATGCGCGTGGATTAATTTTAAGTTAAAGTAGACTTTCGTTGCATCTATCGCACTCCCGCTTCGCTAAACCCCGTGTTCGGTCTCATGACAGAGGCCGGATCGGGCACAGGTGGCTGGCGCGGTGTTAGCCTGCACCTAAGCATCGCATCACGCCTCCCA